AACCTTACTTGATCCCCTTAATTTCATGACCAGATAAAACACTTAAGGTTTTAAAGTCTCATATGTACTGGAATCGATATTGTAGTATCGATTACTACTAAGTTGCACAACATCGCAAGCACTTTTCTATCAATAATTTATCACTAGACTTTAGACATCATCATTAATGACGCAACGATCCTGGTTGAATCTTGACATCCCTTTATATTTGCTTCCGTGTACCTCTGTCGCTTGCTAGAGTTCTTCAGTTTCTTCTTCCAAATAGCTCTACCGTTTCCTCTATGTTGTCTTAATTTGACCGTTTTGGATTCAAATGCTTACACTTCTGCCTGACTGTCTACAAAGATAGTGATATTCAAAAATCAACTTATTCGGTCTTATATTCACAGTCCAGATCATATAGGAAATATATAATGCATTAAATGTGCATTTTGACTGTAAATCGGTGTTCTTTTTTATATCATTTGAACCTAGCATCTCATCCTGAAAGAACAACTTCTCAAAGCATCTTTATGATTACCTGAAGATGTTCTTTAAATCGTAAGAACATTGTCTGAAGGAAAATAGGGATGGGAAATTTTTTTAAATGAAAAGTAGTTTCTCATCTACTAAATATTAATTTCTTATTAAGATGAAATGTGGCACTGCAACAATCGGGGCTATTGTGCCCCCTTCTGGGCTTTGAGTAAGTCTCTAAGTCTAAGTCTAAGTCTCTGAGTGTGTTAGTCCTTTTGGATTAGTGCTGGAAGTACGCCATCTATGCCAAGTAATTTGAATGATTTAAAAGTGTAAAAAATATTTCCGCGGAAATAGCCCAGACTCCCCTTTGCACTGTACGGCAAGCTTCCTGACGAATATTATCGCTCCTCTACACAAAAGCATCCTAAAGAGTAAGTTTCGACAAGTAGTCTCATGCTTCCATCTTCACCTTCTGTGAAACTTTTATCATCTTTTTTGTGACTAGTTGAGGAGGATGTTTTCTCTCTAGCTAATACTTTGCAGAGTCTAGCTGTTTCTGTACTGTGTGTTATATGCTTTCGCACAACTTCTTGTAGGTTTCATTTTTAAGTTTAACGATTTTCTTATTATTATGCTATAGTATATACCATATATCTCATGTATTAAAGTATATATTATATGTTATGTATAAATCTATGGAAGTAAGTCATTAAAGCTTATATGTATTATTATTTCAGTAAGAAGTGCGTGGAGTTTCGATAATAACTTTAAACTTAAAATTTTACTAAATTTTATGTAGTACGTATTTGAATATCAATGAATATGTGCACATTCATACTTTTATTTAAAACATTCCTTTAAAAAAAAAAAAAAAGCGAATTTGTAATCGTTTTACTATTCGTTTTCACTCAGAATGTTAGTTTGTATGCAGGCACGATTTTTGTTTTCGAAACGTACAGGATATCACTTGCGAATGAAGCATTCTACGCAAATATTGTAGATAGATAAGCAGTGGAGCTGATAGCCAGCGTGGTCTACATTCATACATCAGACAATGGTTCATTCGCTCCAGCTGACAGATAAATGAAATATTGTAAACTAAGCCAGTGGAGGAACTTAACATCAAAACATCATTTCTCTGCAAATGCAGTTGTGTTAGCTTATACAGTCTGCTGGTAGCCGAGGGTATATGACTTTCCTTGCTTCACCAAAACTCAAACAGAAAACTAGTGTAACATCAACTACGTGAGAGTTTTTGTAAATTTATGGTGTGCAGAATGGCATCAGGAAGACTCTGATGCAGTACTGAAACCGTATGGAACCCATTCACATGGAGACACTTTCCGCTGTGTTCCGTTTGTTTTTTAATTTTTACTGTTTCCTTTGGCAATTGTTTTCCTTCATTTTTATGTGTTATGCATTTTTTATTTACACTTTTCCACTTTTACATTTTACGTTTGCTGTTTCATGAATTTCGAATTATTATATGTTCACATGCTCACACCCATTCGCCCATGCGCCCATTCGCCCACATACCGAAGCACCCATCGCCCAAACAACCATATACAATCCTACATCATACACAATCATTTGAACTGGAATGCACCGACCCATTCGTATATCGCAGATCCACAAACGTAAAATTTTATTTTAGTAGAGATTTTCGGTCTTAGATTTCCATTGATTAATTTCATTTGCGCTGCTATTTAGTTTTGCCTCAAGCGGTTCTGGTTCAGAATGCAAAAAAGCAATGAAAGAAGTTATAAGTGCAAAACTAAATAGCAAAAATGGATGAAAAATTAACATCACTAGTTTTGGCGATGATGAAAATGTGAACAAATATAATAAAGTTAACAGCGGAATTCAAATAAATTCGTTTCAACAAATTTGCTTTATAAGCTGGATATGCGTTCCAGAGTACTACGGAATTTCCGCAAATAAAAACAAATTTGGCAACTTTGCACGTTACATGAAACTTCATCATGGTTTCAAAAACCAGAGACGTACACAAAATATCCTCGGGAAGAGTGATTGTTTCTCTAGGATATTTTTTTTAGAAAGTTGTACGTACTATCCAAAAGGCATCGGAAATTTGGTAACTGATTCGACTTATACTTCGGGTACTTAAAAATAATATAGTCGGTACTCGTAAATGGAATGAAATTCTACTACTTTAATTAGGGTAAAGGTATACCTTTTATACCTTCAAGCGTGTATAACTAAGAACATGTATTAAAGTACAGAAAAAAACAAGGCTACAGATATTTATTATTTTTATTTAATTTTAATAGTTTATTTATTTTAATTAAACAATAGATAACTAAAATCTTCACAAAATCCATTTAAAGAAATCAATACCAATACGTTCTTTCTTTAGATTACTAGTTTTATATGAGGGCATAACATATCTAGACCTAAAGAATGTAATAACTATGAATTTTTTAAAAGAAGGAAAAAATGGAAATTAGTTAAATTTTACTACTTAAACGTATGTTGGTCATAATAGACCGAAAGATATTGTGCTAGAGTTGTTAATTCGTTCTATTAGTTTAAAATATCAAAAACCTTTTAGTGGCTTAAACTCATTAATTCATATTATAACATAATTTAAACTATATATGGTTTAGTTCATCTTTCGCAGTTACCGAAATCATAATACCTAGCAAATTTTAGGATTTTGAGATTAATTGGTCTTGGAGACATTGATAGGTCTAAGAAGAAATATTAAAATTCGGGTATTTTCACATATTCAACGTACGTAAATGGAAGTTTTTGTCAAAGCATTACCCTAGGAGCTTGAAATCCTATTTTTGCATTACTTTTAATTGCTTCCATTGAAAACGATAAGTTCTATATAATGCTTTTTGCATTACATTAGTTATTATAACCACTATAGTTCTAATAAAATCAACCTATTTAAAATAGTGGATAATCTCTAAGCTTTCGGATTACCAAATATTAGTAGTCACTGCTTCTAGCAGCAAAGAATATCTTGTTGTGAAGAACAGACTGAATATGTTAAGCGGTTTAGTAGCCACTTAATATAGTTGGGAAACTAGTTTTCTTTTTGCTTTATTACCTTCCACTGATAATTTTCTCAAACCTTGTACAATTCTTTCAAAGTTTTTCTTGAAACTAGTAATTCTTTTATATTGTTGTGGCTAAAGATGTCAATAAACATTAAAATATTTGGGATATATTTTTCTTGGAAACTTACAATGTCCATCGTGGTTTTTTAATGTTTTTTAGTTGAAAAAAGTGATGAGGTGTATTTGGCAATCCTCGAACAGCTGTGTGGCCAGTCAAAAATTCAATTAAATAAGACTTAACAAAATTTTTTGTTTTTTCAATTCATTACTGTTAAAAAACTGTCAATAAAAAAAATAAAAAAATAATTTCTATTAAGAAAAAAAATTTCTTTTAAAAAGGGAATATACTCTGGTTTTGGTATATTCGTACTTACCAATATTATTACGTGTTTCCGGGTCAGAATTGAGTTCTTTTTTTTATTTATTATAATTAATTACAAAATAGAAAATCTTATAAGTAAGATAGAAAAAAACGAGCGCTAGCTGCCAGGGCCTTCAGCTTATTAGTTATTTTAACATCGATATAGTGGCGTTTTTATCTTTCTCTATATTCCAGTATTTTCAACACATCTGCCCAAATAACATATTGTTGCATTTGTTCCACCCTTTTTATGGTCGTTCGCGATCACTGGATCCTGATGAGAAATTAATAGTCAACTTGAGTTTAATATAACCGTATTTATTATGCTCTGTATTTTATCAAACATAAACCAATTTTTCCTAATAACAACAATATATATCAAAACTTATTTTTCAACTAAACTGACATTCCTAGAAATTATATCACAGACTATTTAAATTCCATATTCACAACAATATGTATTAAAACATTTTTAGCATGTAATTACTTTTACAATAAACCCCTTTATATAGATATTGCCATAACTTAAAAATTTTTATTTCAGAAATTTTTAGATATTTAGTCTCCATACTAAAACCCTTTTATTAAATCCGTGGTAAACATATTTAATAAAAAAAAATTGCACTGCTATCGTTTGATATTCATGTGCTTTTTAAAGTTTGTTGAAAAAAATAAAATTTATAATAATCGTTATAATATATAAACGGGGCTGACTGCATTATTTCCCTCTGGCTACGCCCATGTAGTCCTCATATATTTTAAACAGGTAATTTTTATTTTATCAGGAACGGAGCAAAAAATTGGAAATCTCACTACTTTCAGAATCTATAAACTATGCTGTGTAAAAAAATTACAGTTATATTTATATGGGATCCACATATCAACCCAAATGAGTTCAGTATACCATATATATACATAATCGCCAGAATACTTTCTCCAAGCATTTTAGTATATTATATGTTTAGCATATGAAATCTACTGAAAATCAAGCAATTATTTTTACGAACAGGCCGAATGATCAAAGTAAACTGTGAATATTCAATTAATCAGTTATTAAATTCATTTATTATTTTTTTACAAATAATGTTTTATACATTTTAGTCGAAAAATTCATTATATTAGTTTTGGTATTCAAAATTTGCAGTTTCGGTTTAAGATCAGATTACCTTGCAAACCCTTTTAAAAATAAAATGAATCAAAAAAAAAGTACGAAGAAGGTTGCAGAGGGTATAAGTAATGATGATATTCCTAGTACTTCAAAGAAAAGTATTTTAAGTAAGTATGGCTTCTATATACAAAATAAATTCTTAAAAGTTAATAATGTTATTCAACTTGAATTAAGAACTAATTGCTACGCCTTGGCTAATGCTTAGCCAAGTGTTTTGCAGGATTTCAGGTTAGCTTAGAAGTAGATAAATCTTTTAAAATTATTATAACTTTTTCTTTATAACTTTTAATTAATGCACAACTTGTTAAAAGCCAAAGTATTCTGCATCACCAAAATATATGAAATAGTAGATTAAAATACCTGTGTTGTTTTTTAGTGCTTGTCGATGAACATTGCATATTATTTATATTTTTGATACATTCTCATAATAAGTAGAAAAAAAAACTTAAGTTAGGAAAAAAATGTAAAAGCATATATATTTATGAATCTACAAATGATTTGACCTGTGTAAGTTGTATATAATGGCATATATAAAAGTAAGGCTTGTATTGTTATTTCAATATTTGAATTTAGAATTTTATTTTAAACATATAATTTAAATTTTTTATTTATCTAATATTGCAATCTTCACTTTAAACTCAATTGCATAACTTTAAAGAACATCTTGCGAAAGAAGAGGTAGAAGGTAATTATAATAGAACATCTTAATAATAAAAACAGTTTATCTACAATTTTGTTGAATTTAGCGGGAAAGAAGAAGGCGGTAAGATTTGTAGAATCGACAAGTAGTATCAAAACCCTTCATTCATTTTTTGGCAAATATTTGTATGACTTTTTTGCATGGAAGAGAAAGAAGAATAGTGGCGATCAAGACAAAAGTAAGCAAAAAAATTATGATCAAAGTAAATTCTTAAGTTAATAGAACTAATTAAAATGATTTTAGAAATAATGATAATAATTTTCCTAATATATCATACATATTAAAAAAAAAATTATTTTCTTTGCAAGCAAATACATTGGTTTCAAGAATTGAATCTACCGAAAAAAGGGAAGATATGGATGTGAAAATAGCAAGTCATAACAAATCCGGTTTAGGTCAACATTCACAAAGCTCAGAAAAAACACAAGAAGTAAAATCAGAAGAAGAAACATTTGAAGCTTTGTCAGAACACACTCCTCCTTCTCTAGATGCGACCCAATCAAATCTTCACATTGAAACTGAAAAATACTACAATCTGTTTAATTTTTTTAGCTGGTTAGTTCACCAGTTATTATACCATTTTGGATTTCGAAATTGGTTCCGTTGATAATTGAACATTATAGAAAAGAATTACAAAACTGCTAAATAGCACAGGTGCAATATTTTTTAAAGGCTTTAACTTAATTTCCCAAAGTTAATCTAAACGGAAACCGAGAGCTATATTATAATGTTATTCATTAAAATCTTTATAATTTAACTCAAACGTCAAATCAAAGCAATTAAAACTAATATAGATGCAAAGTATGACATTGATTCAAATTTTGATTCAAACATTATTTGAAACTAAGACCTTACCTTTGAAATATTTCTGGCGAACTATTGCAAATATACTCGTACTTACATTGCTCACGCAATATGTAAGCAATCAATGTTAATAACAGTCCTAAACTAATGTTAAAACTTTATCCTTAAAATCTATAATTTAAAATTTGTTAACTAAAGAAGAAAAAAAGAATTCTACATAATATAGTTAGAACAGTGTACTTATAATAATTGGAAGTACTATCTTTATTATTTGTGGGTAATCCAAATGCGATAATTGTAGATAATAAGTATGTTGTATATAAGGAAAAAAAAATACAGTTGCAGAGCTCCGTTAAAATAAACTTTAAATTGGATAATAATCTGATAATATGAAAATCTAAATGAATAATAATGTTTGAAATTTGTATTACATCAACTTTAATGGACTCACAGCAGTTTACCTATTTCACTATATAATCGAATAATGGAACAACTGTTTCATTTAAACTACTCATAAAGAATATATATAGTACATTCCACTGCTATAAATACACTGTTCCAACAATATCATCTAGATATCTTCTTTTATTCACTAATTTACGCAATTTTAATTATAATTCTTAATGGCGAGTTAAGAACTGAAGCACATGCTATATCTTAACCAAAATATACTAATGCAAATACTTCAATTCTTCTTAGTTTGAAAATAATCTTTTTAATTCCTTTTTTTTAGGTAAAACTGGAAGATTCAATTTGAGGGTTCTCTGTGCTATCTCCCCCTCTCTTTCTCTCTCTCTCTCTTTATCTTTCTGACTAGAAAAGTGGGTGATGGGTTATTTGTGAGTATCGTTGCTGTTGAAATGTGGATAACGAACTCAACTTAGCGCCTTTTGAAGAATGTCCTTCTCTTCAGATGTAAGTGAAATGCTATTAAAACTGATGTGATTATGGGTCTCCCAAATATAATTCTAATGTGTGGTTATTCATATTTTTTCTAGAAAAATTTCAGTTTCAATTACATTTATGCGCTACTCGGTTTAAGAAGCAATGCTGATCAAACGGATGTGTATCACTACTCTTGCTTAGTTGCTTTACTTAACGATGCAGTACTGTATGTATGTGTTATTCACACTGAGGAATTTCCTAATTAACTAACTGAATACAATACATTTACAGTGTTAAGGGAGTTATTTAACTCGAGAACCCATTATAGGAACTTGAATGAGAATAATGTTTGTCAGCATACACAAATGCATTTTATTTACAAATTTTAAATCTAAATTTAATGTTTTTAGTTACTGAAATTTTTTTGCAAATTATATAAATACTATTACAGATATATATTAAAAAAAAAACAAATAATACACTTCAATTGGCAACAATTCTTTAGAAAATATCAAAAATAATTGTGTGTAAAATTGATAGTTAATAATAGTTAATAGTCTATTAATGTGTTTATACTATTCAAATTATTGCACATTCGTATTTATCTCGATAAATATGTGGCAATTAGTCGCATTTAGTATACCATCGAATCACAATTAAAAGCAAATATGGAATAAAAATTATAATTTTTAATTACTTTTTTAATTTAATTTATAAATTTTAAATTTGATGGGAATTGTTGAATATAAAATTCAATTGGAATAACTAGCAAGTCCAAAATGGTATAAATATTCACTAATTTATCCATATCCAGGTTAGAATTGCGCTAATTGACACCAAATCACTCGATGAATCTATACTATCTTGTTTGTAATTAACAACTGCGATCACCATGACACTCTTAAAAGCGATCCAATCGATGTTATCATTTGATGTGGTTAACTTTTGCATAGGAGGTAGTCCAACGTCTTGAGACTGAAAAGATTAGTTATAACATATTACGATATCCTTGCTATAAATCTTCTCAAAACAATATTGTGTCCTTAAGCAATCCATAAAGCTTTTTATGCTTTGTGAAATACTACTTTTGTGGTATATATTCTAATATACTAAAATAGGTTTATTTATAAAAAAAGTAATATTAGTATATCATATATAATATTAACTGCCATAAAACTCATGTTGACCCATTAGAGTCCAAAAATTGATTTTAATCCAAAAAAATCTTTTACATGGGAACTATGTTAAGCTATCCACAAAGAGAGTCATAATATTTTACAAGGTCATGGAAAGATTTATTGTAAAGATCAGGAATTCGATATAAAAAGTTAAAAGAGAAATTACTAAACTACTAGAGCCGTTCTAATTTTTGGGAAACAATAATAAGTAGCGTAACCATGGCGGTAGTAATTTGCACAATACTCTAAATCCCCAACCAAGGGTTTACGATAATTATTTAGTTTTCTCATTTTCACATATAATCTAAGGAAATGTTGATGTGCTATATCTATAGATTTTTAGCTTACTAGTTAGCTTACTTGTTAAAATATTATCAAAATAATTATTAATAATTAAATGACTAAACATTGGAGTAGGCCCCAGCTTTAATTGTAAGATCCCAACCGGTTCTTCTTCTGTATGTGACATTGCTAACAAGGCATTACGTTATATTTTAAATGGAATTGCATGAAAAAAAAAAACGGAAATACGTTATTTAAAAATGTCTCAATGAATTGCAAAATATTGGGCAAGTCAGACTTAACGCTTGAATCAAAGTATTATATCGGTACTTAAAATTTGTTATTTAAGTTTAAATCATTGATTGGTTGGCTATGCCGATTTGATTCTGATTTCAAAGTTATTGGTTTGCTGTTTATTATGTTGTCTATCCTGCGCTTCTTGACTTTTTCATGAAGTTATTTGATCAAAAGTTATTAAATTTAAACAACAGACTAAAGTTGATACACGAATATGAAAATTTTTTGCGACAAGCAATTTGGAATTGGCCTGTAATCAGGTCAACAACTCTATAGCCTTTCTACTCCAAAGCTCTGACTTACTACATAAGAGTAAATTGAAAGATTTTGGTATTATATAGATCCTAACTTATTATATGAAAGTGGATCAGAAGTATGGAAGATAATATCGCTCTTAACGGGACACTGGACTATAGAAATGCATTAAGTCAGTCCTGCCCTGTCGAATTACCTCTAATTCATATCTACCCTCACTTGAGGAGGAGACACCGGCGCACCTATAGTGTCTTTGTCCAGGCATGTTCAAAACCAGCTTTTTGGGTACATCATTCTTTAATACATTCTGTGATATTAGTTGTTGTTCTAATGCATTTATCTAACATCCGCACACTGTAAAAAATTATGTTTAATCGATGCTTCTTGATAAATAAAATAAAAAATTAAAGATAATAATGACATCAACTATAACTATTAGAAGATTGATTACGTCCTGATAAATAGATGACTCATATCCATTAAAAAATGGATATATATATTTATATTTTAATTTTTTTTTTGTTTTTGTATCTAACGACGTCATGTTACATTAACTTTTGACAATTTTTTATCTTTTTTCCTATGTATATCAGGGCTGCACAAAGCACGACCCACGGGCCTCATGCGGCACACGGCTAAATTTTGTATGGATCGAGACGTTTTTCTAAACTACCATAATTAGGTAAATTTTTTTTTGTTATATTTCGGTAAAATCATTTTATTTTATTTTTAAATAAAATAAAAAATAAATTAATTAAAAGGTTTTAAATAACTTATTACAATTCACGTAAATTTACTTAATTGAGTAAGTGTTTAGTATATATTTCCTAGTACAACTGGTTCAAAAAACTCGTAGCCAGTACCGTTGTCATTACAGATATATTAAAATGAATAATATTTTTAATATGGCAGCAATTAATATTAAAACTGCTGAAAGTGATAGAATTGTGAAAGATAAATTAGTGAAGAATTAATAAAACTTAATTTAACATTTTCGTCATATTTGTATTTTTCTCGGGAAAAATTATGATATGTATTGGCCCGTGACATTATCTGGTCTGGGCAGCCCTAATGTATATAATGAAGGCATGTTGTATTAATTATGATAGCTTACGTTAGTAAAAACTTTATCTTATGCTAAGTTTTGTAAAATATGTGGTTTGCAATTACAGTCTTATATTAAACTTTTTCTCTATAAACTCAAAACATTTTTGATATATTGGCATGAGTTCATTGTGTTGGAATAAAGTCAGGAAGAGATACGGTAAACCGTTCGTAAATAATCTGCAAAAAATATTTTCATTTAACTGACGAAATAACTTTCTGCTATAATCAAGTGAAGAATGCAAACTAGAAAGGAATTCGGCTTCTTATAACTTCAGCAGAAAGAGAAACTATTTTTGAAATTTAATTAATTTCATTTAAGCAAAATTCTCAAGCGTATGCCATAATTATTTAAAATTCATAAAGTCCTATTCAGTCTTAGTCGTGCTTTGGCAAAACTTGTATTTGACTGCGGTTAATAAACAATTTCGTTCCTTGCGGAACAGCAAACTAATTATGCGCCACAGCTCACGCTTGCATCTGCTCTGAATTAAAAGTACGTTCCCGCGTATGTAGCACATATCCTGCGGCTGAGTAAGTTGGATTGGCTGAGCTGCCAGAACTGCCTGAGCTGCCTGTGCTGCCTGAGCTGCCTGTGCTGCCTGAGCTGCCTGAGTTGGCTGAACTGGTGGAGTTTGCCAAAATCATTTTACGGAATGAAATCGCATGGAATAGTAGCGTTCGCAAGCTCTAAAATTTCCGAGCTCTACGATAGATAAACACTCTCGTAGCAAATACGTTGCACAGTCAAATATGAAATTTTTCAAAATAAAAATCTAAAAATATTTAACTACAAACAGAGGTAAGTAAATAATTGCGGAAATATGAGAAAACTACGCAACAACTACAGGCAAAATGTAACGAAAAACTTTTTAAGATTACCTGACAGACACATTCTGCAATGAGATGATTTCGTTAAATGGTTGTGCGTCTCGCTCCAAAGTTTGCACTTTTATTTGAAAGATTTATTGTTTCCACGCCGGCTGCTTACTAATGCACTATTTTAGTTGCATTTGCACGCTGAAATCAAGTCTTACGGTAGCTCCAGCACTTTGGTAACTCATGCATGCGTTGGCTTTCAGCTTCCTTCATACCCCACCCAACCTGTACTATTGCACAGACTAGTGGAAAAGTAGACGTTCACCACATGTCATCGACAGCTTTCATTGCACTTCGTAAAATTTGATGCAACTCGCAACTCGTACGACTCGTGCTATAGATATACGCTCGCTCATTGTAAGTGACAGGGCACACAGTGAAGTCTGGCTTTTCCAAATGCTTAATCAATTACGCCAACGTCAACTACAGTCCCAGTCCCAGTCTCACAACATCAGCTATGCTGTTAACACAACACCATAAATTCCATTACTACTTCGAAGCTTACCAAAAGCCACACATTCTGAAACTCATTTCCTCAACTGCAGGCGCACAACTTTTCGCCGAACATTTGTAGGGCACTTGGGGGAAAATGTTTGACATTACGCCACGGATCTATAACCCTACGAAATTCTGCAGCTTGAACTGCCGTTGCAAAAGCATCCAAAATACGCACTTGTGGCATTTGCGTATATTTGAAAAATTGGAGCTTCACTTTTGGTATGAATTATGAATACAGTCTTACTCTCGAATAATGCATTCCTCGGTCCTCGGCTGTATTGGAACTTAACTCGCAAGTGTAAAAACTGTTGCTCTCTTCTGACTTACGTATGCTTTTAAAAACTTTTCGTACTTGTAAATAATCTTAAAAGGGCTTTCCTAACTTTTCTGGGAATTTTAAGATTTCCTGTTTTTTGGATAATTTGACAAAAATACTATTTTTGCTCTTGCTACTGCATATTCATATTATGCACTTCATTTAAAAGGAGTAGAAGGAGTTTCAGTGCAAGAAAATTGTGGTTCTACATCAATTTCAAA